TTTACAGAGTGCACTTCAGTGCTGAGGTACTCCCCCACACACATGGCCAGGGCATAACAAGTGTACCCCAGCAACTGTACTCCTGATATAAAGGGTATGTGCCCACTCCTGCTGGCCAGGCCAACTTTTGCAGCTCTCCTTATCCACCAATCTCAAAGCACACCAAAGCTGGCCAGCAATCAAACCCCTTCCACTTTGGCACCACAAAAGCTGCCTTTAAGGACTCTGAATCCTAGAGCAGGATCAGGGAAGACCTCTACTCTCCAAGCACGGAATTAGCAAGTCAGGAGGAAGATGTCTAAAACAAAAAATTAGGCTCTATAACACACTGAGAAGAAACACTGATAGAGCAGGTTGTACTGCATCTGGAAGCTCAAGTGAGCCTGCTGGGAGGCACCTCTACCCCCTCTTGGTACTGCAGCTTTGCTCTCTCTTCTGGCCTGAAGGAGGACGGCTCTTTTATTTCAGGAACTCGACAAGATTCACTCTTCTCTAACAAAAGAATTGCCTTTCTCTGTGCTTTAAGATGCTTGTTATTCTTTCACCTTTCCAGTTGGAGCTATGATTGAACAGAAAAGAACTCAGCAGTTCCCGGTACAAAGTGGAAGAAGGAGAACAACTGAACTCTGTGCTGCAGGAGCTGCAGGCCAGGTCTTTCTCTTATAAATCCAGTGGTTTAATACACGTAAAGAAACAGTCAAGGAAGAAAGGACTACATATAGCTAGACTTTGAACTGCACTTGGTGGTTTATTTTACTTAGTGCTTTACATAGCCTATGTAGTACAAAGATCATTCCTAATTTAAAGACTTAGTTGAAAAATACTGCCAGATTGCTAAGAAAGGGAACAGCAAAGCCTTAATAAACTTCTTGGGGAGACTGCTTTATAAGTAAAGGCTTTAAGCCTCTGTTAGCTCAAAAATAGATGTTGAGAAAAGAGGAATTAAAAAAATAGGCATAGCTGACAGGTTGTAAAAGGAATAAAATTTGACTTTGCCAGCGAGAACTGAGCACAGAACAAAAGTCAGACTGGTTAAGGTAATCACATAATTTAACAGCTAGGCTAAAAATTGGGCTCAGTCTACCTAGAAACAGGACAACAAGTTAGTCACCTCCTCCTTCCTTATAATGAGAGTCTTTCTCTGCCACCAAACTCAAGATCCTGCTGAGGTTTCCACCTACAGGGTCAAAACAAGCCCAGCTTTCCTGCTAGCTAAAACATACAGCAGGACTGAGCTCCATCATGGGGCTATGGCTCAGGGTTTCGTTATAATCCTGTTCTAGGAATTTCAGTATCATTTTGTCATGTTCGTAAGATACTATTTACAGATGTTTTTCACTCAGTATTTCTAAGATGTTATTGTAATGCATTAGATGGACAATTAATATTTTTCTTTGAAGTAGATTTTCCTCCCACCCCCAGGACTGCTTCTTAGAATTCTCTGGACCCCTGCATGAAGGTAAGGAGATGTGGGGTCAGATACTTGGTTCTTGTTTACCCTGTTCCCCAAGAGCACTCTACTCAAGAATCTCCACTCACCTTCCTTCGGCCCTTTTGTGCTAGAACAACCACCCCAACACCAGGGCTTTTTTCCCCACTCTTGATTGTACAAATAAATAAAAAACAAATAATCAAGACACCACAAGGTTCAGACACCACAAGAGTCAGACTGTTTGCAGAACTGCCATTATGAATTAGATATCTATACTTCATTTAATTCACTGTCAGCTCTTACACTGCTTTTTTGATTCCCTCATCCCCATTTCACAGAGAATGGAACTGAAACACACAAATAATGGAACTGATCAATCAAAATTCCAGCTGAAATACTCTAATAATCAAAGTCCAGGCCCAACAGCACCATTCAGATAACTATACTTAATTATAGGTTTCTACACTTTCTGAATTAGGAACAAGTTTGCTTGCTCAAAGGCAACCCACATCTCTCAACTGCCACTTCAGTTCTATCATGCTGTCACATAGTTTGCAACAGAGCTGAATTTGTTCCTTTGCCTGTGAAGCTGCTTCACACAGAAATCCGAGTTTCAGCTGCTACTACCAATATTATTAGAAAATCAGAATACTCCACTGGCTTCACTGAGGTTGCCTTGGACTGGAAGTGGTAACTCTCCAGGGCAAAGAGTCCTACATTTGCTCTAGGATAAATCAAATCATGGCATCACTCCCCAGAAACTTCATACAAACGGTATGTTACTTACTGTAATAATTGATAGTATCAATGATCCAGAAGCTAACTAAAAACAAGTTTCTCTTTCCTTTGTGCATGTCTAACCATCATTCCCTGCTTCTTCATTTCTTTTTTTTGCCGCTAAATGCTACCAAAGGAATGCCCAAAAACTCATAAAGCTGTCTGTTTCAAAGAGTTTAATTCACAGAACAAGAGTCTCACTTAGGAGAACAATCCATATTTTCACTACAACTGTGCACACAGCCATCTGGGGTAGGGAAAAATTACCATTTCTCTGCCTCAAAGATGCAGACTTCCAGGGACACACAAAGAAACTCTCAGTTTGAACTGCTATAGCAAAGCCATTTCAGGAAATACATCTTACAAGACAGAAAATGATCCCCGGGGAACCTTTTGTAAGCTCAAAGCTCTGTTACATTGCTGTAAGGCCACCACCAAAGGCAGCAGGCAAAACTGACCCTAGGAAAACTGCACACACTAAAGAATATACTCACAAATTCTTCTAATTCCCTCAACTAGCAAGAGCCTACGAGTGAAGAGGTCTTTTTTTGTGGCTCCGTGCTCAGCAATCAGCCTGCCAGGTGAAGCAGGTCCTTCCCTGCCCAGAGCCCCAAAAGCAACACCTGAGCAGCATGACACAGCAAGGCACAGCATGCACTAGCTACTCCCAAACAGTAAGAACTAAAGCAAAGCTTTGCTCAAAGGATGACATCTTGGAGACTGGAAGAGCTGGTCCAAGCGGATACAGTGATTTTGAAAACAAGCACTAACTTCCAGTCTTTTCTCTCCACAGGGGATGTCATGTGTGCTGGGGTTTTTTACCAATCCCTGTAGGAAAAGATTCTAACTTAGCCATAGCAGTTATCCATACATTGCCCTGAGTTCTGCATGACTTTTACTGCAAAAGACCTGGAACACAACCAAACGGTAGTTCTAAAGTAAGTCACCTCTTAGTAAAAGGCAACGCATACAACTGCCAACATACTGCTGACATTTAACAAGTAACAGATACTAACAAGAAGGGAAGCAGCCAGTGGGGCTGCCTCAGACTTCCGTCCCATCTGGTGGCAGCAGCAAAAGACCCCTCGCAGACCTCTCCCAGGATGGAGTAACAGACCAAAGGTCTTCAGTCTTCTCCCAGCCCAAGGGCTTAACTGAAGAGAAAAATTTTCCTGAGCTGTCTTCCAAGGTTTATACCAGGGGTGTTACCCAAGCACAAGGATACATTACAAAATGTGTACATTAGCAAAAAGAATTTATGTTCTGGTAGCTAAAAAAAACTTTATTTACCTAATTACAGCCTTTGAATTTATTCACTTAGTACAGTGAATTTTTATTCATTGCTTCCCATGAACATGTCTTCCATGTTTTCTGCTCATGTTAATTTTACAAGCCCTACCTTTTTTTACACCAGTTTTCTCTAAGTTTCTCTAAACTACAGGTGGGATTCTCCAAGGCAAAAAGAACATCTTCCCCATTAGGCTTTCAAAGCTATTTTCAGTATCAACAGTTTCAATCAGTGTCCTAAAAAACACTTCTCACTCATCTCCCCTTGAGCTCTGACTACCAATGTGTGAAAACTTACCATGACAGTTCACCAGCATGACTACAATTAACTGCATAGAATAGCAATTGGAGATACTAAAATGTTTTGAATCTGTTCAGCCACTGCAGTCCTTAGAGGAATAACTGTATTTTAATACTGTTTGTCCATAATACACAAACTTGGAGTCAGGGTATTGGGGGAAAAAAAAAAAAAAAAAACCACAAACAATTGATAACTTTAGATTAATGTCTTATGGAAATTAATCTGGGAATCATGGAAAATTATGCCTCGTACCATAAAAGATTGGTAATACGACTAACAAATCTGAGGTCTCTAGAATTCTCTGTGTTCTGGCTCCTAAACTGGCCTTGGCCAGGTAAAGAATGAGCTAAGATTATAGATCAGCTTCTTTTACAACTTGCAATGAAGTCAGTTAGCACTGCAGATCCAGAACAAAAGCTAAATGAGATCATAATTGTCTGCCTCTAAAAATGGCTACAGAGGACAGACAGCAAAAAAATGAGACACTAACACACACACTGCAACACAGAGTAAAGCACAGCAATCTGCATTTTACAGATTAAGTCCATGGTAAAACTTGTTAATTCATCAAAAATTCAAGTAATTGAAATTCATCGCAAATTTCACTCACTAAAAATAAAAACACCACCATTTTAGAACACCTCACAAGCATTATCTTAGAATATTGCATGAAACCCACCACAACTCTAAGTGACTTATTCCATACCTGATACTCAGTGTGGGCAGTTAAATGCAATCCTGCTCTATTTTGCCACTTTAACAGTTTGCAGCAAGTTGATGAAAGTCCTGCTACATGTTACTAATCAGTTTCAACACATTAAATGTTTTCTTGTAGCTACACAGCTCCAGCTGTCTGTGTCTCTGCATATGTACAATCACAGAGAGAAAACACATACACCAAATCCATGCCTTAGAACTGCTTTGACTTACCTAGTTAGAAATAAATACTGGGAGTGCTAAAATCCTACACAAAAACAGTTCTCTAAAGATCTCTAACCGCAGCTACCTGAGAGCACACTAAAAATAAATGCCACAGGTATTTCAGGGAAGTAATAAGGGCTATTTTGAAATAAAAAATATAAAAGTAAAAGAAAGCAACAGTTAAGTCAGACCTCCATTACAGGGAATCAGTCTAGGCATCAAAGCTCTTATGAGCTCATGCAGACAGAACTTAGATAAGAGAATTGAGGATGTTTGTCTTACCTTGGAATAAAAATGCCTTGCTGGCATTGTGTAGTCCTGACACTTGTGTTACCCCAAGGGTTGTATTCACAAGATCCAGTTCTGTGATGATATCAATTTGTAAGTCAGGATCCATTCCAAATCCTACAGCTGTTGAAGGCAGACAGAGGGCGAGAGAGAGGGAAGGAAGGGAGGGAGAGTGTTAGATCAATTTTTATTTCAAATCAGGTAATGAAAAGAATGGAGAAGAATACCTAGTGCAGTGCAGACATCTATAGTACCTTTACATTCACACACACTGTATACAGTAATTACTTATAAGATAGTAACTCTGCTGCAGGAAAGAGAAGATTTTCTTCTCCAACTCTTTTAATGAAACTATTTCCTTTCCCCGGATTTTACTACACAAAAGTTGAAACATCCTAAAATTGTACCACTAATTCAGTACCTTCATGAGGCTAAAGAATAATAAATAAGTAAAAGCGTAACCACCTAGGCAAAAAGATGAAAGAGATTTGCAGCATTCATCTATTATTGGCAGCACTATTTCCAGGGAGACGTGAGGAAGAAAAATTTCTCTCGCATCTCCTAGCTTGCTGTGACTAACAGACCAGGCCCCACAGCTCATAGGCCAAACGTAATCTGTCTTCCCAACTGGGCCAAATGACCCTGGAGAAGATATGGCAACAGGGCAAAAGATGCCACCCTGTAATCCAAGAGCCCCAGGTGACTCCCAGAACTGTGGTGTATTGCTTGGGAAGCGCACCTCTGTATTTCAGCACAGATGGTGCCAGTGAAATGTGACAAAGCCTACCTACAAATAGCAAACATTCCTTTACCTCCTCATCTACAGAAGCACAAATCTAAACCTTAAAATGGCTTATACACAGCCTTGACACTCCCTTAGCTAGCAGGGACCTGAGGGGATTCATGCTCCCAAGTAGTTTGAAGTTGCTATGTTCAAAAGCTCAGGGCAACTTGATTGTTATGGTGCACCAAGTTCATTAAACAGACCTTTTTCTAGAGATAGGAAGAGGCCAGCCTGACCGCGGTATCTCTCTCAACATAGCAATATGTGTGACATCAGATCTGTGCCTGACACATAGGTCAAATGTCTCATGCAGGATGCAAGTACTTCCTTAATGAAATTTTTATATAACATCTTTAGTATCGGCAACAGGCTCCAGGAAAATCCTGGCACAGCTGAAGTCAGTGGTAAAAGTCCTACTGACTTCCATTGAGCAACAGCGTTACCTGTAAAGCATTCCCAGACTAATTTCCACAGAGTGGACCTCATGTTCAGGCCTAAATTGATTCATTTGTAATTCTCTTTGAAGGGGTCTAAGAAATTACTGAGGTGTGCAGAATGAGCAAGTTAAGTATTCTACTCATCAGCCATCTGTATCACAGCACTTTCTCCCTTCCTTTACTCAAGAATTAAAACTTGTTGGAACATTGTGTTGTGCTAATGCAGAGGATTCTACTACACAAGGGACAGAGTAGAAAGCCTTAGTAGTAGCTTTAGAAGCTCTCTAGCAACCTTACTCTACAAGGAAAATAAAGATCTAGAGGCATCTGGCAGAACTGAAGCTCCAAGACTGCCAATATACCTAGGTGAGTACATACACAGTGCTTTCATAAGGATGTGGGTATACGTACCTTATTGTAGAAAATTTAAATTAGATAATATGAACCCAGATAAACTTTTCCAGGGGTAAAAAACTTGCCAGATAATCAGCAACATCATCAAGCTTTTAGTACTACCTTTGACTTCACCAACCCTAGAGGCTCAGGCACTGAAGGACCACAACTGACACTTTGGACAACACCTTCCCCTTTTGAAATAAGCACTGGCATCAGAAACAGCCAGCCACCTCTTCTGGTCCCAAACCACTTGCATGCAGTCAAGGTTTACTGAAGAAACAGCCAACATTTACCAGGTGACTGCTTTCCTTCAGTGTACCTGCCTCTGATTACCAGGAGAGAACTTATCAACCTATCTATTTCCAACCTACAGCAACTCTTGCAGTGCAAAGGCAAACTACAGACACAAACACATACATAAATACAGAGGGTGGTCTTTCTGGGGAGAAGAAAAAAAGGCATTAAAAAAATACTGTTTTAGAAGAGAAACTGAAGGACTTATTATTTCTTCTAACGCTTTCATTCAGAAATGCCTGCCAAGAACAGAATACACTGATATATCAGGATCAGTTAAAACCTCCTAATATGAAGGGAGGTCGAGTAAGCACTAAAACTTGCTCAACGGAAAGGACACACTATGTCCGGGAAGACAAATCTTGACCCTATTAAAGCCAGTGAAATCTCTGCCACAAGCATCTAGAGGGTGAGGACAGAAACCACATCTAGCAAGTATGGTCAATCCCATAAATCATAGTTACTCCTCTGCTCTATTAAAGCTTTTTATTCCAGCCTGAATACCTAAGGCTCAACAAGTATAGATCACTGTAGCTCTACAGGCTTCGATTTACACCGGTGCAGAATCTTGGGTGCCAACTTTAGTGTGTGCCCTTCCAGTTTTTAAAACACTCTCAAAAGCTAAGACTATTTCTAATGGCACAGCAGCTATTTAGCAAGTACCTACACTGTTTTAAATACCTAGTCATTTTCCTGTGCTGGCTCTTCAAATTGCAGCAGGCACTCAAAAGCCTAGTTAATAATTAATAGACAACAAATCAGCACCTTCAGTATGATAACCAAGACTCATTTTCCCCTGCAGTCTCCCACAGTCTATCAGAAAGATATACCACAGGCATGCCAGCCACACTCGCATCTCATTATTTTATGCTGCCTCTCTTCAGCGGAACAAGAAGCTGGCAAGACCGTTTCTTTCCAAGGTAAAAATTAATTATCAACCCGTCTGCTCTCACTGGAGAGCTTTGCAAGGCCTGGGCCCGATCTTGATGGGTAAAGCTTTCAATTCCTATTTAAAGTAATTGGGACGTTTCTCTTTAATCAGTGGCTTACACAAGCAGAACTCCCAACTAATTCAGTCAGGTGGGCGGGAGCAGAAATCATCTCGGGACCTGGTGGATTTGGCCCAACCTGAACTGAAGACACCATGGCAGATTTAAAGAATTAAGCCATATGATTATGAATCATGTCACCAGGAAATCCCTAAAGGAAATTAATTCTTCCTTACAGCTCCAACAGCTTGTATGCTCTGCTTATGCCTTTATCACCTCCACGCGAGCACCAGCAATCGTGCCACGCTCCATCTAGCTAATGTGGAGTCATGCAACGTATGCAGCACATTTATCATTTCCTCAACATGTGAAATGAGCTTTTTAGGGATGGAAAAACTTTAAGCGAAAGCACACTCCACACAAGCAAGTCACCCACATGTACCCACCAACGTGGTGAAAAGGAAGCTCTCTAGGAGAGGCATTTTGCTCTTTCCCCTGACAACTTCAGCGGCAACTGTTGCACACAAAGAACTTGCAGACTGATATTGTAATTCCAAGAAGGGGAGTTTCAGGTCCTACTGACCATTCCGAAAGCTTGTGCGCGTTAGTGGTGTCAACACCACTGCGAAAGGGAAGGCAGTATATTCTTCCAACTATATTTATGGCGCACCTCTCCAGATCTGTAGATTCTGATGAGATAATAATTGCCACAAGTGTAATTGTAATTTAAAAACACGGATTCCTTGGCGCTTCTGATAACCGTTTGGGGTAACCTCCTCGAGAACAGATACAAGCACCATCGAGAAACGTTCCCCTCAAGACCTCCGATCGAGGAAGCGCGGTCCCCGTGGCAAAGAGGAGAACAAAGCCTCCCAAAAGGAACAAGAAAGGGTGCTTGGGTCGCGCAGTGCTGTCAGAATAACGCGGCAGGCGCAGCACCGGCAGGCAGACCGCGCCGCCCGCCTGGAACGTGGGTTCCCACGGTACCCGTGCCCCGGTACCCTGTTCCCCCGGTACCGCGCACCCCGGCCGCTTTCAGAAAACTTTGCCCCACCTGCCCTACCGCACCCGCGGAGAGGAGCCCCCCCACCCCCCCCCCCGGGGGGCTCCCTGCTGCAGAAAAGCCGTGCTGCGCGCCGCGGAGACCCGCGCAGCGAGGGATGGCCGGCTCCTCCGCGGCGGCAGCCGGCAGAGCCGGGGCCACTCCCGTCCCCGCAGGGGCGCAGCCCGCCGCCGGCGCCCCGCAAAGTTCCTGCACGCCGAGCCCCCGCTCTCCGGAGAGGCGGCAGGAGCGGCCGCCGGCCCCGCAGCCCCGGCCCCTCACCTGCCCCGGCGGCGGCCGCACACGCCCAGAGGAGCAGGAGGAGACCCATCGGCACGGCGCGGGCGGCAGCGCCCGCCTCTCCCTCCCTCCCGGTGGCTGCAGCGGAGCCGCGCCGAGCCCAGCGCAGTCTCCGAACCGCGGAGCGACTTCGGCAGCAGCGGCGGCGGCGGCTCCGCCCGCTGCCCAGGCGCGGCCCCGACCCCCCCGCGGCGGGGGGGGGGTCCCCGCCCGCCCCCCGCCGTGACGCGCGGGCCCCCCCCCTAGGCCTCGCCAGCGCCGCCGCACGGCCATGCCCTCGGGTAGGCCGAGAGAGAGGGGTGAGCCCCCGCCGGCCCTTCGTCCCGCTCCCCAAGCCCTTCGCTGCTCCCCAACCGGCTCGTCTCCCACGAAAGACGAAAATCCCCGTGGCGCCGGGCAGTACACTTGTGCCACCGCTTCCTCCTCGTTCCCGTCATGGAAATAGTAAAAATCAACCGTTATTAACTATTTAGTCTTAGTCATAATTCATGCCCGGTGTGAATAAACAGGCTCTGAGATGGTAGAATACGGAAATCCACTGAGTGATAGGCTTTAAAGCACAGCTTCAAACACATCTTGAGCAACATCATGGATGAAGAATGCCTGAATCATTCCCAACTTTGTTCTTCTGTGGATCAGAAAAGTCCCAAGAGCCCACAGGTGCTGCCAAAATAACACAAGCATCTGAAGAGTAAGTGCTCTGACTGGAGTTGGTCTCACAGATGGGGGTCTTCCCACAGTTCAGCTCAGTACCCAAATGATCACCCACTGGAGAGCAATTGTCATCGTAAAAGCAGTTTCAACTGCTCAGGTTGGAAAAGGAGAGGACAAATGGATGGAAAACAAAAAGTCATGTTCTCCCAGCCAACGCTATTCTTAGAACTCCTCTAATGGCAGAAATTTAGCTTCCTCTATCACCAAAAAATGTGATACTCTGATATGATCTGGTGAAAGCGTAAATAGCTGAAAGACCTGACATTCAGATAAGAATTAATACTGTGTTCGTGAACATTCACAGCAATTAAAAAAAAAATACGGCACCTGCAAGGGTGAAGCATTGCTCCTGGCAAGCAAGCTGGATTTCAGCTTAGATAATATTCCTGTGAAAGGCTGCTCTTGCACTCTTGGTTGGACATTGAATGCTTCCTGATTTTGACCTAAATTATTGCTATGTTGCTAACTGCATGGTGTTAAACTGTTAGTCCTGTCAGCCACAAAGCTTGTGGCATTTTGTGGTTTGATGAAGTATTTTTTGCCTAGGCCCAGTATTTCTCAGAGTGGTCGTAAGGTTGGTTGTGTGCGTTAGATAAAAGGTTATTAAAAGCACTATTACTCACTGCATAGCTGAGCATGAGGACTCAGTTGCCAGCTGAACAGCAAATGCTGAAAGAAGAGGGAAAAAAACCTCATAGCTCATGGGGTAAAATAACTCCTCAATTCACAAATAAGGCTCGCATCCTGTAAAAGCCTGGCTCCAAAGGAATACTCCCAGTCCACATAGGCAAAGTTTATTCTGCAGCCAGTAAAGAGCAAGAATTAACAGCAGTACACATACAATCACAGAGTTGCTTGCATTGGAAGTGACCTTAAAGCTCATCCAGTTCCAACCCTCTGCCATGGACAGGGACACCTTTCACTAGACCAGGTTGCTCCAAGAGCTGTCCAACAGCCTTGAACACTGCCAGGGATGGAGCAGCCACAGCTTCTCCGGGCAACCTGTACCAGCACCTCACCACCCTCACAGGGAAGAGCTTCTGCCTAAGATCTAACCTAAATCTCCCCTCTGTCAGGTTAAAGCCATTCCCTCTTGTCCTGTCACTACTTAAACTAAATACAAAGAAAAAGAGTAGATGTAAAAGAGGTGGGAATACAAGATGCCATATTTACCAACTGATAAATAGTTATAAAGGACTATATAATCAGTCCAAAATGCTGAAAGTATCCACGTCATGTTTATAATTACATAAATAACTAACAAATGCACTGGAATGAGGCCTTACCAAGACAAATAATTTGTTTATTTCTGTACTCAGCCATGGAGCAATACCTACTGCTTTTATTTATTTATTTTTTTTTAGTTCCCCTACACACACTTAGCTTACATTTGAAGACTGCAAAGTCTAAGTTCAACTTTACAACCAATTAATCTGTTAGGTTGGTATAACACATGTCCTTCACAGTCTACATTCCAACCATAGGAATTTCAGTACCTGAAAGAGTCATAAAAGTATTGAATAGTTGGGTTGGAAGGGACTTTAATGCTCATTCAGTTCCAATCCCCTGCTGTGGGCAGGAACACCTTTCACTAGACCAGGTTGCTCCAAGCCCCATCCAAGCTGGCCTTGAACACTGCCAGTGATGGGGCAGTAAAATTATGTGACAGTACACACATCTGCAATAGATGTGCCTATCTTCAAGCTGGTTAAGTGACATACATTGCTTTAAAGTGTGGCTTGGTTGAATCCATACAACTCAGTTAAAAAGACATTGGGTTTTCATCTGTTCCCATGAGTTTTAAAGATTTAAAGCAGTAGTGCTTAATGGTGACAGTAAAGGACTGTCTCTTACTCCCCAGATCAATGTGTTGTATCATGGACTCACACTGGTAGACTCTGGAGATCTGAAATTCCATGTGCCTCAGTTTTTCCTCCTGAAAAATGGACTAATGACACTTACCTGCCTCTCAGGACCCTTACAATGCTTGCTGGTAAATTCAGACTTCTGCAAGATGAAATCTGCCTTATGTGTGTAAAGAAGCACTGCAGTCTGCAGTCATTAGGCCCTGCCACTTCCATTGTCTGCACATGTACCTCTCAGAAATGCACACTTACAGACAGGACAAAGTGGTTTTTTGTGTTGTTTTTTTTGGGGGGGGTATGGGAACTGATTACCAGAACTCCTGAAAAAAAGGCCTGCCACGTCACTATTGAGCTGTCTTCAGGATTAAACTCTCTCCTGAAATTACTATCATGATCTTGGCACCGTGCTCGTATCTCTTGTATTGCCACATTTGATGCCACATTATGATCAGACACTGTACTTCAGGTATCTGGGAAAAGCCTGACAAAGGCTCATCTCTGCCAACAGTGAAGCAGGTAGGATGAGTACCAATTCCACAGCAGGCTGCTGGGAAAGGAAGAACCTGCTTCCTTATTGGGAAACAAATAGGGAACCAAACCCTAACCAAACCAGCAGGAATTCAGCTTTGAACAAGATACAAGAACACCAGGTATCCTTACACTTTCCTCCTTCACTTGCTCTTCCCTTATACCTCTCATTTGCATCTCCAGCAGATATGAACCTCTTGATTTTAGCAACCTTTGGGATATTGAATTGATAGGATAAGAAGGATTTAAGGAAATACAGTTAGTCCCCTGATAGTCAATCAATTATTCCACAAGCTACAAAGCACTCAAATGGTTAAGAACCCAACCATTTAATTGATACTTACTTCTGCAGCTGTGCAACATCTCCATTTCCCAAGAGGGCTGTTGCCAGTTGCTGCTCAGGGTTTCTAACAATCAAATGGATCAATTCTGCAGATACCTTAAGGCTGCCTGTTAAGTAAGAATGATGTTTGTGGTGTGCAGAGGGTGGGGAAGGTGGCAATAGAAAAAGAGGCAGTTCATTCACCAGGAAAATGTCAATGTATTTTCTGTTTTAAACACTGGACATTTATTTAGAGTCTTTAGAGCCCATACATTATAGAATAATTTTCATTTAATCACATTCAAATATAATAGGCAAATATATAATACAATAAATTGCATTTGTACACATAAATACAAAATCTGAGGTAGGGCCTCAAGAATAATGATTTCTGAAATTAAGAACATACAGCATTGTAATATGCACTGCATGAGATATATATGATGCATCCTTTGTAACATAATGTATCTCCTCCACATATAGCTAATGAAAAAAATTATAATGACCTGGTTAGGGTACAAATCTTTATCCATAGGCAGCAGTACCCTACAGAATGCCTGTAAATATATATATATATTTATATATGACATTACGCAAGTAATTAAGATTTAACCCATCAGTGATGGGTCCTTAATAAAGTGCCATAGGACACAGGGCGCAAATTCTCAGCTGGTGTGAACTGTCACAGCCCCAAAAAAGCCGTGACAGTTTATACCAGCTAAGCATCTACCTTACAAGGTAATTATACATAATATAAATGGTAGATAACAGCAGGTTTTAGTTGATCAATAGTTTTCCTTAACAATGGAAGATAGCTATAAGGCAAATGGTTACCTGAAGATGTATTTAAACATTATGGACAAATAATAATATTGTACGCAATAAGGTCCAGCCCAGTTCTCACACCATCTTAAACCCATCAGGAAAACCTTCTGTCTTTGGCTGCCTGAGGGTAACAAAGGTAGAAACCCCCAATGCCCCTACCATCCCCCCCCTTGAGTTGTCAACCTGAGTCCCTTGGGAATATCAAGCTCTGACCACTTTACAGTGGATACCATTTAACTACAAACAAAGAAACAAATGTCTCTTACAACAGCATTACTTAGCAAAGCAGAGAAGCTGAGAAGCTTTCTGTGATGCTGCTTGCTAAAGCTCTGCAAGCCCACAATCCCTACAAAAGTCTGTCTCTGATTGCAAGAAGTGGACCTGCAGAATAAGAAACCAATAGGAAACCAGTGTCTGCCAGAAACAAGCAGCTGCTTTAACACAGACAACAAGAAAACATCCATACAACTGTACATATATTCAAAAAGCCAAAGATATTTAACATAAACCAGGCATTGGAATTTTATGGTAAGAGAAAACCACACACTGTATCGAAAGCAATGATCTTCAGTGCTGAAGCTCATCTGATGTGGTCAGTGGAGCAGAACCTAAGCAAAAGACTACTTCAACCCAATTGAAACGTCATATAAAGACAATCCAAGTCTTTCTCAATTAAAGGTCATTTTGTTAAACCCTTCTTTTTGGAAACAAAGTGCTGCCACATCTAGCTGAAACACAGGTTGTAAACATTGCATATTAAAAACACTAGGAAGACCCCAAATAATTTGAAGATGGCAAGCATCAGGTATAATCTTTAATGCATACAATAATGCATCTCAGCTCATCCAGAAATTCAATTTAATTTCAAAGAAAAAATATGCAACATAATTCCACCAAATTTGAATACTTT